TATATGTTACGCGTATATACAGTATATATCAAAGTTATACAACACACATATACATAAAATATACACTCGAGATTCTAGTAATTCAAGCCAGCGATAGATCGGGACACACATATACATAAAATATACTTTAAAAACACTCAAATTTCAATCGTTTCTCAAAATCGATTTTAGAACCCATATATACATAAAATATACCTAAGATATACACTCGAGATCAAGTATTTAATTGCTTTATTAATTTGGAAAAGATAAAATGAAAAGTAAAAAGAATAATAACAACGGAGTATTCGAGCTCGGGGAATCATTCGAAAATACAAATTGAAAAAAAAAAATTGAGCCTAATGGGGGAAGAGCAGATCGATCAAATGGAGAAAAAGTTGTTGGGTTTGAGCTTTTCGTCCTTTTTGCTCTTCGCCTGTCTGAAAGCTGCATTTTTGCTCCAATTGGATCTAGGTCTGCAGATTGAGCCGTCGATTGATCCTGCCTGATGGAGGATTTGGGCGGCTGACCCGAGATTTCGGGCTCGGGGCCCATGGAAAATCCAATCCGACGAGGTTCGCGGCCTCCGATCGTCGATCCGTTGACGATCCGTTGGTCGGCGATCCGAATTTCACGGCAAGCTCGAAGAATCCCGATAGAAGCAACAAGCACTCGAGTTGGGGTTTCTACTGATCGTAGATCGTCGGCACGCACGTCCATCTCGTCGCCGGAAAACTGGCGACTCTACTTCTTGTCGAGGAATGTGACAGAATTTTGGGAACTTTCTGAGGGATTTTTTCCGGAAAGGAACGGCTTGCTGCGTGAATCTTGGGTCTTTATGGATTTGTTACTATCAAATATGGAATGGATATATGTAACTTATTTTAGGTAGTAATGTAATTAATTATTGTCTATTAGGTATATACATAATTAATTATGTATGAATGATAATTTTGTAATAGTTTAAAAATCATATAGGATAACTGAAAATTTCCCGTATTAATTTGCCTCAATCTAAGGACTGATGAGTGCAGCCCAAAGTTCAGTTTTCCTACGGATACATGCGTGTGAAAGTCACATGATGAAACTAAAGGCTTAATTGGGTTGACATGCGCATGCCAGGTTTAATTAGGTAATCTATATCTATCTATCTATCTATCTATCTATATCTATATCTATCTATCTATCTATATCTATATCTATCTATCTATCTATCTCTATCTATATCTATATCTATCTATACTATTATAAAAGCACGAGTGATTTTGTAAAAATAATGATTTGCCTAAAAAATCCTTACTCTGACATATTTTTAATGGCAATTTAGTAATACAGCATCTTATTTTATATTTTTAATTAACAAATGAACTACCTAAAAATCTCTTACTTTAAATGGCAAATTAATAATACACCAATAATCATCTTATATTTTTAATTAATAACTAATATTTAACTAATTAAATATAGATACATGAACAAAATATTTCAGCTCCCCTAAAAATCAACCTCAACATTCCCATATCATTATTCATCACCAATTTGCTTCTTTCACATATCTGTCGAACTATTTTCTTCCATATCTCTCAAAAATCAACCCAACAAAGCTATGAAAGGATTAGTTGATGTTTTTAAAAACGTCTTTATTTTAATATAATTTTAATGTAAAATCGTAATCATATATTTTTAATTAACAAATGAACTACCTAAAAAATACTTATTTTGACTTATTTTTAATAGCAAATTAGTGTCCCAAAAATCAGCCTCAATATTCTCATACCATTATTCCTCACGTATTTGCTTCTTTCACATATTTGTCAAACTGTTCTTTTCATATCTCAAAAAAATCAACCCAGACAACAAAATTTTGAAAAGATATATAATTGATGTTTTGAAAAACATTCTTATTTTTAATATTATTTTAATGTAAAATCGTAATTACTTTAATTAATAACAAAAACTCTCCCACGAATTTGCTTCTTTCACATATTTGTCAAACTGTTTTTTTTCATATCTACAAAAAATCAACCCAGACAACAAAACTTTGAAAAGATATATAATTGATGTTTTGAAAAATTTTCTTATTTTTAATATTATTTTAATGTAAAATCGTAATTACTTTAATTAATAACTAAAACTACTACATGAAAGTTTTAATGTTTAAGAAAGAATACACAAAAAATTGCTATACTGCAATAATGAATACAACGGTCAAACATTCCACTGAAAATCGCAACGAATAATATTCATTGGTATAGCGAATAAATATACATATTCTAACAAACTAGAAAAGTAGATCAATAATAACTAATATTTAGTTAAATAAATATAGATACACGAACAAAACATTCTAGATCTCCTAAAAATTAGCCTCAATATTCACATACCATTATTCCTCACGAATTTGCTTCTTTCACATATCTCTCAAACTGTTTTCTTTCAAATCTCCAAAAATGAAAATCAACCTAGACAACAAAACTTTGAAACGATATATAATTGATGTTTTGAAAAACATCCTTATTTCTAATATAATTTTAATGGAAATCGTAATTACTTTAATTAATAACAAAAACTACTACATGAAAGTTTTAATGTTTAACAAAGAATACACAAAAAATTGCTATATTGCAATAATAAATACAACGGTCAGACATTCCACTAAAAATCGTAATGAATAATATTCATTGGTATAGCAAATATATATACATATTCTAACAAACTAGAAAAATGGATCAATTCAATTAGCCACTTCGTTATTTAAGTAAAAATAAAATCTTATATTTAGAAATTACACCTTATATTTATTGAATTGAATTTTTATCCCACAAAAAACGTTATTTATGTGTTTGTTTGATTATTTTTTTCAATTTTGGTCACAAGGCCAATAAAGTTAACGATATAAAATTATAAAAAAATAGAAAATTATGAAAGAACAATATAAAGTACAAAAATATAAAATTTACTAAATATTATAAAAAATATAATTAACTTGTCATACTTACTAATAAATATGAAAAAAAGTAATAAATAAAAATGATATAATTAATAAAAATAAATATAAAACTTTTAAAATTGTATTTATCGATGCAAACGACCTGAATTGTTCAATGCTTGTTAATTTTTTGTGCTTATTAGTTCTATGTGTAAGTTTTAGGTAATAGACAATAGTTATTTGTGTTTTTATCCATGTAGGTTAGAACTTTTATTTTCTAGAAAAAAAATGATTATTTTAATTTTAAATAACTTTTTATTTTCTTTTTTTAATATAATATTAAATATCATATTACATATATAAAATAATAATTATTTATATTTTAATATTTAATATGTAAGAAATTTAACTCAATTGAGAAATTAATAGGTAATTTTGAGATAATAATGAGTGATTTAAAAAAAAAAATATGGACTAAAAAGTTCATGTGTTAAATATATCTTTAATAGAAAAGTTGTAGGTATTCCACTGAAAATTGCAACGAATATTTCATTGGTGTAGTGTTCATTGAAAAAGTTCGTTGTATATTAGAGATCAAATTAAATTATATTGAAATTTTTGTTGATTTAATGATTACCATTATCATTATTTATTATTGTGTGAATTTCAGTTAGAATTTGTTTTCAGACCATATTTCAACTGTCGAAAAAACTGCCAATGGAATTTTAAAAAATTCAATATAAGTTTATGAAAGCTAATTGCAGTGGAGGATATAAAATAATTTTTTATTGGGGGCACTATTTAGTTAATAGAAAAAGTAAACCATCAAAATAATATAATGCACTACAATTTATAAATTATTTTTTTCATAGTTTGTCATCTTTCTCATCTGTAATACATTTTTAACACATATAAGTTAGAAAATATTAAAAAAAACATGATTTTTTTAATTTAATATGAGAAAATCATTGAAAACAAAATACTTTTTAGAATTTTTTATGAACAAAACTTGAAATCGGTATTGTTTGTTCTCATAATGGCCACGAAGTATAGAAATATTATTTTTTAAATTAATCTATAAAAATATTAATTTTTACCAAGAAATTATATCGATATATTATCGGTATCCATCTATCCAATCTGTATTATTATAATAAAGTATTTTATTTTCCTTACAAAAATTGTACGAAATTAATATATAATAACACATATATAAAATTTCATAACTAATATTAAAAGTGTTAATAATTGATTAAAATAAATATAAAACTTTTAAAACATGTATTTATCAATATAAACGAGTTGAGTTGTAAACATTTGTTAATTTTTTGTGATTATCAATTCTATGTGTAATGGTTAGGTGACAGACAATAGTTATTTGTACTTTTATCCATTTAGGTTAGAACTTTTCAAATTTAGAAAAAAAAAATAAAAAAACTTGATTGAATAAACAGTATAAAAGTACAATTTTATCAAAAATATATTATTATAAATAAATAATATTAAATAATATTTTATCTTATTTAGATTATAGTTGTAGCCAAATAAATAAGATACTTTGATAACAACATAATTATATAAAATGTGTAAACAAATTAAACAATACATATAAATATGCCCTAAATCTTTTAACAAATAAAATATTATTTGTGAATATAATAAGAAACAAATAAAACAATATTAAGGTAATGAGAAAAAATAAGTATGATTTTTTTATTTTAGAAGAATATGAATATCAACATCTAGAAACAAAAGTCTTTTATAATTACTACATATTTTATTACTGGCTTTTAAATTCTCATAAATATTGACCCTATATTATCAATTTTGATTTTTTAAATAATTAAAAAAAATAATTTACTTTGTAATACATAATATATATTTTAATAATGATTTTGTGATAATAAATTTCACAGATGGCGAAGAGTATTATAATATAATAGAATTTTGTTTTTTCTCGTCTCTAATATTTTAACAAATGATATGTTTCTCAATATTATCTCATATTTTTTTTTCATTGTTAAAGAATCAAGAAAAGATATTTATCATAAATTTTTGAAACATTATGATTGATGCAAAAATTTAGACAATAAAAGCGTCTGAAATCATTGGATGAACCAAGCTGCTCAATGATTTGCAAACAATATATTATATAGTTCGTCTATCTTCAAAATAAATAAAATTGAAAAGAAAATGTCGGAGCATGATCAAAATATTTTTGAATTTTTGAATGAAGTTATCATATTTTGATAAAAGTATCTACAATTTCATTGGTGTATTGTGCTCGAACATATATGCAAGTACTCTAGAGTATATACTTTCATGTAATGTATGATGATTTCAAAAAATAATTTAGTCTTCATGTAATGTGTGATGATTTTAAAAAATAATTTAGCATCTCGAGAGAAGTATATGTAACCAAGATTTTTAAAGGTCAACTTTTATTTAGAAATAAAACTCATTCTCACCCCCGTGGGCCGATGCCTCGATGGAGGTGTCAATTTGTCTATATGAAGAGAGAATAATGTAGTAGTTTAAAAACAAATATATATCAACAATTTTAATGACATAATTGATTATTTCACAGAGATATTCATTAACTGTTATTAGCAATACTTTATAAAGATCATAATCATAGAATTTGACTATATGTTTGGACAAAATATTTTGCATTGTTTAAATAAAGTAGACTTTTTGCCTAATGACTTAAGAAGAAATTGCCTATTGATGTATAGAACCCGAATGGGTATGAATTTTTTTTATGAGAACGTCAGAACTAAAATGAAAGAAAATCACTCTTGAATCATCAAATATAAATAAATAAAAGAATTAATGCATTTATAATATACATTATGTCTTTATTTAGTTATTTAGTGTCTTTTTTTTCTAAAAAAAAGTCATTTATCATGTATTTTTGTTCGGGTTGTAATATGTTATTTTATTCTTTTTATATTAGTACATCGTAATATTATTTTTGGAAAAAAAAAATACATTAGGAGCTCATTTGTTCTACATTTTATTTATTCCTGCAATGATATATTTAATAAATTAATTAATTAATTTTATTAAACTTAATCGGTAAAAAACATTCGTCACCACGTGCAATGCACGTGCACTTTACTAGTTACCTAAAAAAGCCCTACAAAATTGGTCTGGTGCTTTTGAGAAGATGCGAAAAAATGTATTAGCTGATCATACCGGATAACCGATACTAATTATAATAATGGATAGTTAATTGTAATAGTCGTTCAACTAGTGAAGTATATTAACAATTTTGTAAATAAGTGTTCAATAAATAATAATTTAAAAGAGATCAATAAAGACGGCTTTCCATATCTTTCTCAAATCCAATCAAATGGAGCAACCAACTTACCAACTTCTACAAAAATCAAATCAATGCTTCCTAAGCGTGAACATACCAATCTTATATGTGCAATAAAATATATAGGTCATTGATACTTAAAAATTTTTAGTAATACCTCTACCCATAACAAATACATGATTAGTCTTACGCATATGCATCGATGTCTGTATTTTTATAGAAGTTTTATAGAGCCAACGAATGACTTAATTGTATTGTGCCTACGAATTGTTATATTGATATTTGTTTAAAGTAATTGTAATGCGCCTATGAATTGTTATATTGATATTTGTTTAAAGTGTGTTTATTGTGTGACTCAATTTAATACACTTTTTATAAGTTATTATTATTATGAATGACACTATATATTGTATCATCTCATCGCTCTATACCAAAACTACTATATTTATATCCAGTTGTTAGCAAATGAAAGGCAAAAATAAGAAAGATGTTAGAATGTCTATTTGAACTTCGTCATCAGACAAAAATACCAAAACAAATAGTAGAGGATTTGGCGAAGTGTTAGTCAATCCCTATGAATATTTGTAATTTGTATGTATATTTAAGCAAAAAATAAAGAAATATGTCGTTTTCTTTTTTGAAATCAGATGCCATGTGGGGTTTGGTTTGGACCATTCTTTACCAATTCTTGGGTCAATGGCCCACATGGGTTTGCTAGATTAAAGTCCACAATCCAGATTTTTAAAGCCACGTGGGGCTGCCCATCCAATGCCCTTGTCTCTTCTAGAGAAAATCAAATGAAATATAAATATTCTCCCTCTTCCTAAATTGTATTCAAATAAAAATTTCAAGTGACCGATCAAAAAAAAATTTAAATTTCAAGTGAGAACTATATTGATTATTGAGTGCATATATCACTTTATTTTGGACAAAGATCATCCTAAGATAACTTTTAAATTTTGATATATGTTACCAACTTAAAATTATAGTTTGTTCACCCAAATTATATCATTCACATTTGCTACTTCATTCAATGACAAATTTCAACAAATCAAATAGCTTCAATTATTTGATTTGTTGAAATTCGTCATCAAATCGAACCTAGTTAATGGTAATTTCGATTTCATCATACAATAATTTAAAAATGATCAAAGTCGTACTTAAAATTTATAAAAAAATTAGTTAAATTGCGCCTTAAATTTGATCAAATGTGAAAAGTACCACCGTTGTTTTTTTTTTTTATGAAAAATAAATTTATTGAAATATTTCCTTAAAAATCGAAAGTTGTCTTAGGATCATCGATTGAGTTTCTCAATCGTCGACAATAAGACGATGAAGTTTTCATTTTCTAGCTATTCATGGCGATTGGGAATATTCACCGATATGTCGCCGACAATTGGAAGCTCCCAACTGATATCAGAAGACACCCGTTGAAGTTTTCTAAAAAATGACTTTCTATACTTTTATTTTTCACAACTGTTAATTTCCGAGCTGAACAGTGGATATTACTTAAGCAAAATCTGCGTTGAGCATTTCATACTGGATTGAGATTGGCTATATGCCTCCTATTGACTGTGAATCGGGAGATCAGCCCCAAGAACCAGCTTGGCGATATCCATAAGGCACACTATCGTTCAGACCGATCTAGGCGCACTGCGAACATAAATAATAAAACAAGGGCCGCATGTGCCCAAATGATGACAAATGAGACATCACCGCCTTAACCGCCATATTCGTTCTCTTCATCCAAATCAGCTTTTCCCTCTTGTCGTTCCTTAACGTAGCAGACAATGATGAGAAATACGGCGTACCCTAATTAGAGGAGAGATGACTAATTTATATAGAGGTAGCTTTAGATCTAGTACGTCCATCAAATATCCAGATTAATGACTTATATATGTTTGACCATTAAATAAAGGTCTAGCCCAATAAGATAATTAATTGTGAGCCCAATACTTTCGGGCCATTTATTCTTACAGAAACCACATCGTCATCTTCAGCGTTCCTATGTCTGAGAGTGACCCTTAAAAAAAGACGTGACCCTTAAAAAAAAGATTGAAAAAAATCAAAACTGTCATAGCCAATGCTTAAAAACTGAACGGTTATTAAAAATAAAAAAAAAAAGACTTTTAAAATAACATTTAAATAATAAAGTTGGATACAAATAGAATAAGAAGTCCTCTATATTAAACGACTAAAAAATTATTTAAAAATGATAAGGAGTATACTTTTATTCGTTTAATTCTGAATTTTCTTTTCGTTTGGATCGATTAACCCAAATTCATTTGAACTATAGCTAGTTCTGAATCGGTGTATTAGAATATAATATTCCTTTTGAGTTGTCTCACATTATTTATACAAAAAAAAAATAGGCAACCTATAATCCTAGTAGGTTTTAGGATGAAACATCACTATGACGCATCTAAACTCACCCTGTTATGGTGCGTTTCACGTGCGTGGGACTGCACCCGTTTTTCCCGATTCTTACATGGTATTAGAGCGGGCTTATGTGGAACTTGCGATGGCGTTCACGTACCCGTCTTCCGGTCTACTTGGGCTTGGGGATGACGTACCCGTCTTTCGGCCTACTTGGGATTGGGCTTCGTATTAGTATTAGAATATAATACCACTTGTGAGTTGTCCTACATTGTTTACAGGGAAAATAGGTGTAACTTATAAACCTAGTGTACTACTTCTCCTTCCACCAATTGATTTTGGGATGAAACCTCACTACGACGTATCTAGACTGTGCGCTTCACGTGCGTGAGACCGCACTCGTTTCCGCCGATTTTTACAACGTGAATTGCCAATATGTTTCAATTAATATAAACAATATTTTGATACTCAATTTTTTTTTTTTAATTAGAATAAAATAGTTTACTTATTTTTGCCTAATTATTTATTATTATTTTTTTAGCTTATTACTTTTAACACCCAAGTATTATTCACTTAAAATTTGTTTTCATAACATTTTACTATTTTCCTATTATTATTTTTTCAAAGAATATAATGATGCAATTTTATTGTATCTTATGAAAAACATTACTACACGTCAATATTATTTTACCAATATTTTAGTTTATTATTTTGCCTATGCTATTTAACTAAACTAATGTTTATCAATTTAAAAACTAAATGTCGTAATTTAAATTTTTAACATTCAAATTTCTTATAAAGGTCATTAATATCCGAAGTCCGTTCAAGCTAAGGTTATGTTCACAATTTCTCATCCTCGATTGGTTTTTTCCAGCAGACCGTATATAACCCAAAATTGGCTGATAACAATGAGAACTCACTCTATAACAGTATGTTCCATGTGTATGCTCTGTTAGCCACTTATGTATGTACCATGCTATTTCAAATGCGGACATATTTGTACTTGATATTCAGTGAACTGAGTTCCATTAAAACTGGAACATACATATGCTCTGTTAGCGACTTATGGTCATATCAATATATATATATATATATATATATATATATATTGTATTTTTAAGAAAATACCTAAAAAAGTGGCCATACAATTGAAATCATTGAAATTGTGTATAATTTATAAAGTATTCAGCAAGTCTCTGCAATGTCTGGTCCGAGTCTGAAACATTGGTTTGTCCTATTTATCGATCATACTGATTTTTCTTTTTTCATTAATATTAAGTTATTGAGATGATGTTATGTATGATATATGACTATTTCATCTATTTGTATCATTATTTCGCCTATCATTAATAAGTCATGCACCAATTTCAGGTGCAAGACAAGTTAAAGTGTGATTAGATATAAACTTAACTAAAAAATTCAATCAAAACTCAAATTTATCAATTCTAATCCAGCCTCACTATCCTCAATATTATTAATATAATTAAATAATATTAATAAATTATCTTTACACATCACATCAACTTTAATTCACTATTCACCCACTCACATAATTTTAACTACTTATTACTTCCAATCATTTTTCTCCTATTTTTACATCAAATCAATTTTAATAATTTTATTTTAAATATTATTTTAATACAAACTCAAAATCTCACTCAAACTTAAGTATCTAACTCAACCACTTTTATAAAATTAACTGTGATTGACAAAAAAATCAATCAAATTCATATCTAATCACACCCTTAATGGCTAGGTAAGTCGATCTTTCATACTTTTTTCAACTATGTATTCAATATCCCCAAGGAAGGAAAACTGAAAATATCATATGTATTTCAAGTATTTAATAATTATTTTGCAAATTGAATATTATTCATAACAAAAAATAGGTACAAATATAGTGATTATTGCGTGTTCTGAGTTTTGCTGCTAAAAATTCTAATTTTACGCGACAGAATTTGCAATATGGCCTCTAAATTTATAGCAATTAAATAAGACCGATGAATTCATAATTTCATTCATGTAAACATCAAAGTTCTAATGTGGAAAATTTGAAATTCCCCAAACTAAGACGATTTTTGACCACACCCTACAACAGGGTACCTGTCAATACTATCAGCCCATACTCCATTTTGGGCCTCCCCAACAATGGGCCTGATGCACTCCCAGACTAGGCTAGTGCATTTGAGCCCACTGCCCAAGCCCAGTTGCCACACCATATCACCTTTCTTGACCCATTCCTTAGCCTCAATGTAAGCAAGCTCGTACCACAATGATGAAGAAGACTGATTACCAAACCTGTGAAGTGTCATTAATGCAGCCTCCATATCCTTCTCCCCGAGCTTCAAACCCTTCCCGATTTCCTGAATCAAGGGCTTGCTGGAGGCCGGCAGGCAAAAATGCTGCATGCTCCTCTTGAAATTGGGCACGTAAATTTCTGTTGACTTGTCTATGTACTTCTTCTTGATGATCGAGTAAACATACAGTAATATTTCGGTGTAGGGTAGGATTTTGGGGCCGAGTATAGAGATGTTGGACCGTAGTGTTTCTCCTACCACCTGCAAGAAAGAGTGATAAAAGCTCGTAACTTTAGTCGTTATTTAATGGGCCAAATATGTCCCAAAAAATAAAAACGTTAGGTTTATGTCTTTTTATGAGCACATTGTACTATTTGAATTTAATTCGAAGCAGAATGCATTCAAATATGTACCCACTAACACCAAAGTTTCACAACTTAAACATGAACACATGACTTTTATTAATAAATCAGACAAGTAGTTGAACATTTAAAGAAGAAGAATGCAATCACTTACTGTTACTTTGAACTAATGGTAAACTATATCCAATTAAGGACGGTTATTCAGTCACCAATCATTGTGCTATTAAGTATTAAGCTAGCTATCATTTTTTTTTTTTTATTAAAAAAAAGGCATTAAGATAGCTACCAGGATCTTTGTGGTCTAGCCTAACTATGAAGTACCTTACAAATATTTACTCAAAAATTTCATTACATATTACATATTACACCTTAATTACAAAATCTCCCAACAGTTGAAAATTCCAAAAGCAGCTGAATTAGGAAAAAATAAATAAATAAATAAATAATAGTGCTATTTTTCAGTAGAAAATGTGTTAGTCACCTGCAGCAAGTCCCGGCGGAAAGTAACTCCGGTGAGCCCCTCTCCATCCTCTTCCCTAATGGCGGAATAATATCCCCTGTCGTCCCATGCCGTCTGACTCCTCACCCGACACACCAGCCTGTACTTTGCCGTCCTCCCCGCCTCCCTCCGGTTGGTCACCACCACCCCCGCCGCCCCCCACCGGAAAACGCAGTTGAGCACCATCATCCCCGTCTCCCTCCCCGGATACCACCCCGTCGACAGCACCTCCGTGCTCAGCACCACCGCGTTCCCCGGCCGCCTGCCGCCCCTCAGCACGTCCGCCGCCGCCGCCACGGCCAGCGCACTCCCGCTGCACCCCATCCCGCTCAGGTTGAAGCTCTTCACGTCCTCCCGCAGCCCGTACTCCCTCACCACCGCCGCCGTCAGCGACGGCTCCGGGCAGAACCCGCTGCAGTTCACTATCAGAACGTCGACCTCACTCGGGCCGAGGCCCGTTTTGGATAAAAGGGTCTCGAACACGGGGAAAAGTGCGAGACGGGCCTCGCGGGCTGCTTCCCCGTGGGAGGAACTCGGGGGGATCGTGTGGATGGCCGGGGGCAAGTACGTCATTTCGCCCTGCCCCGAGTGTTTGAGGACCTTCGACATGAAGGACATGCTCTCGCGGTTGAGAAAGTCGAGCATCGAGACATGCTCGAGAAAGGTTGATGTTGGGACGCGGCAAAAGTTGGGGGGTTTGAGGCACGAGAAGTCGAGGAGGTACAAAGGCGGTGGGGCCCACAAGGCGCGGAGTGATGTTCGGGCAGTGATTAGTAGGAGTAAGAGTGAGGCAGGGAGAAAATGGTAAATTGGATTGAAGGGTTTTTGTGTGAGGAGTAAGGCAAATTGGGAGCTGATGAGCATGAGGAGTGTTGTGAGGGTTGATAGGTTCTTGAGGTTTGTGAGGAGGGAGTGGATTTGGGATAGGAGGAGCTTTTGGGAAGAAATATTGCTTATATAGTTGTTGTTGTTTGGTTTGGCCATTTGAGGAGGAATTTTTAGGAATTGAACTTGAGAGTGGAGAAAAGTGACTGAATTGTTTGGTCTAAAGGAGGTGGGAATTGAGGTTTGTGTGGCAATTATAATGGTGTAAAGTTTTCTCAACTTGTGTATTTATTTCATTTTTCTCAATAGGGAACGACCACATGGTTAGATCAGGTGCAAATTGCCCTACCCCAACATTGGATACTATATCAAGTCGAGTATTATTTGAGAAGAGGTGTGATGAAATCAGGGGAACCGGAAGGTCGACCGGAGTGTAGACATCAAAACTTTAATATTTTATTAGTTAGTGTCTTCATTTATTTTTTGACATAAATATAAGATAAATAAAATATATAATTAATGGAAGAAAGAGGGGCCTACCTAAAAGGTGGCCCCAATAGTGACGACGATGAAAATGTCCACCTGAGAAGGCAAAGATCACTATGGCAGTAAGAGATCTTTACGTTCTGTCCGGTCCATCAAGAAGAATCCAACTCATCTCGAGCTCGGAAACGCAGTCGATACCCGTTCGACCTCAACACAGAAGCACCTTCCCAGCTAGACTCGTGAACACGAGCCGGGAAGACTGACCCCATCCAAGAGCAAACCAAGGCCTATGCCCGACGAGCATACCATGTCGAGCAACGAGTGCATGCAGAACGCAAATTGGCGACCTGTACCCTCAACAAGCTTGGATACGATCTCGTTCACCGATGAGGGCGTTTTTATGATCGACCACTCGCACTCAGACGTGCTATGCTCACGACACTGATCTTCAATATCAACGTGCACCTAATTCTGGTCGATACAGGAGTGTAAGTTAGTATTCTATACTACAACATGTTAAGAAAGATGGGGATAATTCGAAAAAAGTAAAACTATGTCGGGACAAGATCCAAGGTTTTCACGAATGAACGACCTTCCCCGTGGGAAAAATAATGTTGTCGATCAGGTTCGGGGGAAAGGACTCAAACGAGAGGACTATCCTAGAGACGTTCAAAACCTTCGACCACCAAATTGAGTACAATGCCATACAGAAATGGACGACACTCTACAAGCTCTGAGTTGCAGTTTCTATCTTTCATTATGCGCTCAAATTTTCGACCTCCGATGGTCCGAAAAACCACTATGGTGACCAGCGAGAAGCTCATGAATGTGTATTGGTCATTCCACAATCCGAAATCTGTGTTGTAAACATAACTGACGAAGGACTTATTGAAGAGACTGAGGCCGAGCAGGAGATGCCCGAGTCGCCATTACCCAAACGTATGATTTCGGACATTCTGACCACCGACCCCGAACAGAAAGGTCATGCAGGCGACATCAGCTCGAATAGATGGAGGTCGAAGAAGGAAGTTTGTCCGAAAAATGAAGAAGGAGACATGACAAGTAGCCGATGAGAGAGGAAGACGAGCTCGACCCTAGAGAGAACAAAATGAAGATAAACGAGGAACCAAGCGGGTTGAGCCAATAGATGAGGTGATCATTTCTATCGACGAACCAACATTCCAAAAGCAACTCCACATAGCAAGTAAGCTACCCGAATCGACCCAGACCGAGCTCATTCAATTCCTCAGGGAAAATGCAGACGTACTTATGTGGACCCATGAGGACATGATCATGATTAACCCGAAGGCCGCCTGCCACGCGCTACAGGCCGATTCGAAAGTCAAGCCATGTGGCCTACTAGAGTCGGGCAGTTGGGACAGTAAACCGACAGTCTAGGCAGTCCACTCAGGCAGTCCTGGGCAACAAGGTATCATCTCACTACATAAAGCAGTGAAGTATGCCCACTATTGCATTACACACTCTAATACACTTACATATTGTTCATCATCTTCTACATATTTCTAAATTAATCACCAGAGAGGCTTTTTACTAGAAAACTTCTTCGGTGTCGAATTTTTGCAGGTATTGAAGTAAACCATCGGCAAGGACGATAGATTGAGGTTGAACCGAGCCGGTCGAGGGTCTTTTCATACCAATATCACATCAATTTCACCTATGACATTTTAAATATTATTTAATTACAAAATCTAAATCACTCATTCAATCAACTTTGTTCAAAATAACTTACTTTAACCAACAAAAATATGTTGGATCCATACCCAATTATGCCTTTAGTGAAATTTTGAGTTTGTATATAAGTATTATTTTGAGAAATGGTATGTAGTTAAAAATATGTTAATAGATAAATAGTGAATTAAATTGATGTGATGTATGAGGATAATTTATGGAAAAAAAAATTGTCCAAAAATTGATTTAAATTTAACTTTTGCATAGCATTTTTGTTGACGAGGGCTTATCAAATGAACATTTTTTTAAGACAAAAATATGTAAATTTAAAATATGCGATTACACAAAAAAAAAATAAATAAAAAGTCAACATTATAAAATATAACAATCCAACTAAATACTCGATTTTATTAATTACTAAATCGATTTACAATTAAGAGACCGAGAGAGTAAATCATTACAATATTTTCAAAAGCTAATATAGAAATTTAAAATATAAGGATTGTTAGTACATTTTTCATTAAATAAAAATATTATTAATTTAAATAAAAATAGCATGAAAAAGAAGTGTTAATTATTAATATATTGTTAATATTTTTACATTTCTATACATATTTTATAGTATTTTCTTACATATATATGGATTTTTAATAATTTTTAATTATTAATATATTGTAAAAAAAAATCGCTTCTATACATTTTATGTATTTTTCATTAAATATATATATATATATACACATATATATATGTATATATATATATATACATGAGAGGGTAATACAACAGACCAAAATTAAAAAAAGTAAAAAGAAAAAACATGACCTCAACTGAAAAATATTAGTACATAGATCAAAACAATAAAAAATCTAATGGAATGTTCCACTCTATAGGCACAAATAAGCAGTAATGCTAAGGAGCCAACTGTTGGCTCCGTTATGGAGCCAACAGCCAATGGGACAGCTCCATGTGGGGGGGGGGCTGTCCCACATTGGAGCCCCACATGGAGCTGTCCCATTGGCTGTTGGTGTTGGGTTCTATTAGGAACGTCGGCAATGTGCACATTCAAATCTATTGAATAATAAATCCTAACGCAGCGGAATCTATAGTTAGGATTAGGACTTACGGTTTAAAATTTTTGCCGACTCTGAGTCGTTTCTGATTTCCGTTGATGGAAATCGTCTGTCTACCACAACCCAATCGCTTGAAGGGTTTGGCCTTTGTCGACTCTAGTCAAGTGTTGAATCACGAACGGATCGTCTCGGACCTTTGGTATGTGAACCGGACTCCTTGGACAGCTCGAAAACCATCTTGGGCTCGAACCGGGCTAAATGGGTCAAGCTGAACCGGGTCGGGCCAGTTTGAACCGGGCCGGGCCGGGTCTGGACCGGACTGGGCTGGTTCGGGCCAGGTCTGGT